GGTGTTGGATGCAATTAGGATGCGGTTCAGGCGAATAGAGAGCGGTCTGTCGCGTACAGAGCAGATTCCCCAATTAGCGGGCTTCCAGGCACAGGGCTCCCGGAAGCGCCTGCTTGGTTTTGGCACCAAAATGTTAGTTATTTAGCTGTGTTGTGTTTTTCCCCTGCAAGGAAGCGTCACGAAACACGACAGAATCCGCTTATAAGAGTTTTATTAGAGATAAGGGATAGAAAGTGCGCAGTCCTGTGGGAGAGACACGTGCGTGGAGAAGAGAGAACTGGGAACATGGCGCTCCGCTTTAAAACTGGCTGGGGGCGTGGCCAGGTCACGTCACTACTCCACACATGTGCGTAGATCACATGGTCACGTTGCGCACTTACGTGACCATGTAACGTCACGGATCCTGGTTATGCGAGACGCCTTGACCCGGAACTTGCTAGGCGGAGGTGTCCAGGTCCGCCGGGTATCCTGGTTACGAGAGACGCCCTGACCCGGAAATGCCTATCCTGACCTGGAATTGGCTAGGCGGAAGTGTCGGCCTGGTATATGCGACCATGGGGGTGTATTGTGAACCCTTCACAGGGGCCCAGGAGAGACGCTACCATCGGAGAGGGAATGAATCCAGATGCATGAAGTTCTTTGGTCTAATTCGTTTATTCATCTGCCCCACCATCATTGAGTCACCTATTCCACTCTCTCAGTTCTCTTAATTCCCTTAAATCCAAGTCCCCTCTCCTTCTCTGGTCTACATCCTATCCCAAGCAGCAACACCTCATGTTTTGTATACAATACAAGGTGGTAGGGGTCCCTGCTAGAGACTTCCTGGCAATTAAGAGTGGAGTCAGTTAATGGTTGGAATAAATCAGAAAAGAAATTTATGCACTAGAAATATATCCTTACTGTGGTTAGGTGAAGGCGTTACAAGTCTACCATAAATGTGTTCAACTATAAACTTACAGGTGATAGGGTAGGGAAAGTCTGTAGGTCACTAAAAGTTAAAACTGTCACTTTTTTCATCTGCTGCCAGTTTCCTGACAGGGTGGGGGAGGAGTACTGATAGCTAGTCAGTCTGCATCACAGCTTGAAATGCCTGGTAAAAGGAAAACTCTTCTGATCTAAGAGGTTCTCTGGGGCAGTGTGAGAGAGAGGGGGAGGCCTTGATTGGCACAAGAAACAAAGCTTGTTGGTCTAGTGGGCAGGAGCTTGGCCTGTGAGACAGGATGTCTCAGAAAGGACATTTT